CACTCTCCAGTTCCATCCATGTTGCTACAAAAGGCCATATTTCATTCTTTCTCATTACCAAGTAGGATTTCATTGTATATATAAACCACAACTTCTTTATCCATTCGTCAGGTGATGGACATTTAGGTTCTTTCCATAATTTGGTTATTGTTGAAAGTGCTGCTATAAACATTGAGGTACAAGTGCCCCTATGCATCAGCACTGAGTGCCTCTTGAGAAACCTGAGGCTACACAGCTCACACCACATCAACTGAAATTTAGCGTTTATTGGGCACCGACTGCCTGCTGGGGAGTAAGCACACAGTTGATGCTCAACAAATGTAAACAATTAAAAAGTGTTTTCTTTTAAATTGTAATTGGGGGATTCTGAGAATCAAAATGTGCTGCAGGGGATCCCCAGTTAGGGCCCTCACTGAAAACCCCAAATGCCTCATACAAGAGGGGTTGTGGGCAGGTCCTGACCCAGCTTACTCTTATTCTGGCTTGTCAGTGCAGGTTGTGGGTGAACAGGTGTCCCGTGCACTGTGGATTAAACAGGTGCTCTTGACCCAGGTATGAATAGGGCATGTGTGCTTGGGTGCAGTGCAGGCCCATGGCCACCAGGTCCTGCTCATGTGTCCTCTTTCTCTCCACATGATCCCACCTAACTGCAGCCTCTTCAGCGTGGTCCTGGAGATGAGAAAGCAGCGGCCTGTAGCTGTGCAGACAAAGGTGAGAGCCTTAGTCTCCTCAATTCAAGGACACATGCCTCTTCCTCTTGTCTTCCCTTTTTGATGATTCCTCTTCCCCCACGAGGAGGAGTACAGGAATAGGAACCTAGTGGTTCAGATGTTCTTCTCAGCACTCCACACCTCCAGCCCCCTTTACCAGAACTTCAAGGAGGTACCAAGGCCTCTGCCTACTGTCTTCCTGTCCACCATCAAACACCCTCAAGACTAGGACCAGAGCAGAGGTCTGTGGACACCATCACTGCAGCATCTAGCCCCTGGACTCCCTCTGGGAGCAGGGACTGACTATGATATCTACCTTTGTTCTCCTCCTTGTGACCTTATCAGACTCCGCCTCAGCTTACCCCCCAGAGTCCATGGTGACTTCCATCAGGGGTCTGGCAACTTTCCTCCACGCCTCGCAGCCTTCCCCTCCTGTCCTTCCCCAGAATTGTACCCCACTCTATGATGACGCCCTTTCCTTCCGGATCCTTCCCACCACACGCCATTAGCCTGGTGAGGTCCTCAGGCACCCAGCCCTATCTCCTCATTCTTCCCTTTCCAATTTCTCATGCCCAAGGTAACCCTTTCCTCGCCCTTTCAACACCGGCCCCTTCCTTGCTGTTCAATTTACCAAACATTCACTGGCTCGCTCTTTGCCTGCACTCTGGGAACCTGCCCCAAGACGACACTTTGATCCCAGAGATCTCATTGCCTCTGCTTCTAAGGCTCGCCTCAATGTTAGCCGTTTCCTTGCTTCCCCAGTCATTAACTTAGCAAATATTTCTTGATGCAGCCCACTTGTCAGGCGTCGTGTCAGGTGCTGGGGGCACAGACCCAACCTTCCTTTGCAGCAGAGATGTCACCCCTCCTCTTTAAGACTAGCTCTCCATCTTGAGGCCGTCCCTCCCTCCCCTTTACATGCCACTTCCTCATTCCTTTATTCAAACATCTGCACGACAGGACCACCCCGCAATACCAATACGCTGCGCCCTCCACCCGCCAGGCTGGCCCCTTCCCTCCATCCACCAAACTAGCGGGGCCCTCCGGACGCACAGCGAGACGCCCCTCACCCAGAGGCCCCTCCCTCTCGCCTCGGAAACCCGCCCGCTCCCCCTCTCCCGACCCGCCAGCAGCCTCGGGCGGGAAGGAAGCGGGCGGTTTGCGCGCCGCGAGCGGTCCCCACCCCCTCCTTCCTCGGGACTCGGCGTCTTCAC